TTCAGATTTTTCTTCTCCACATTTGTCATGCCCTCCTCAACTATTCAAATACTCATCAACTTAATACTATAGGTTCAATATTCCAAAATATCATCTTCTCAATTCAACTATCTTATTAAATATTCAATTAAATTATCTTATTAGATTAAATTCACTTCTTTTAACACATTCATAATGTAATTACATATTTTTTTATTACAAAATTTGAATATATAAATGTAACATATAACTAATTATACAATTAACAAAATTCTTCAAAATAATTATTTAATGGTTTTAATTATATATGAAAAACCATAAATTTTTTTTTCTGGCACGGTAAACATTTCTAGCGGTTCAGAACCGCTAGAAATATTTCGTCAAATTAAATTTCGCGCCAAACTTTCTAGCGGTTAAAAAACCGCTAGAAAAGTTTCCCGCCATTCTAAAAATTCAATTGGTGTGAAAATTTAATTTCCCAAACATTTCTAGCGGTTCTATAACCGCTAGTAATTTTTCGCGCGCTACTGAAATTATTTAATTCCCGTTTAGCAGGTTTCTAGCGGTTATAAAACCGCTAAAATGTAACACCATAACCGCTAGAATTAACATTTTTTTGTAGTGAATAATCGATGTATTTGGGGCATTCAACGTTCAACGTTTCTTTTTGTTGCTTTTAGAATAATATAATATAATACAGCAGTTTATTGTGACTTCCATGTATATATGCCTATCAAGCTAGTATGCTTTATATAAGCCATCTAATGATAAAGACTTGCAAAAGTATATATCTAATATTTTCATCGATCTACTGCTTTTTAAAGTAACGAATTAAAAGATATCCAAATCCAAAGTATATATATGCTCAATGAACACATTTGGAATGGTCAAATCATATCTATGTATATATAAGCATTAAATTAATACCCATATGCTCATCTACATCTATACAAATCACATATTTGATTGGGCCACCTTGGATCTTATTATTTGTGAGAGAAGGGAAAAGCTGTAGACAAGAAGTAACAATTTCATGGAAAGCCCATATTAAATTTCTTTTAATTAATTAATTTGAGTAGATTAAAGAAGTTAAATACATTACTTAATGCATATGATATTATATCCTTAAAATATCTTTATATAACATTAGATTATATATTAGTTTCCAAGTTATATAATTATATATATTTAAGATAAAATAGATTAATTTCATACATTTAGGACCAAAACCGTTTTTAACTATATATAATTCTTATATTTTGGACCGGATAAGTGTTGTTCATGACTCATAAATTAAATAATATGATATGAAAACTAAGCACAAATAGTATTAGATAATACATTATCCAAGGCAAATTTGCTTAGCGTGCATCCTTTGTCCGATTCAATATTTAGCCTTAAGCATTAAATTAATACCCATATACGCATCTACATATATACAGAAACTTACCGACGCATTTGATTGGGCCACTTTGGCTTTTATATGCAAGATTGTCAAACTCGTGAGTTTAAACAAACTCGTGATAATAATATAAACTCGGATCATAAACTCAGATCGTAAACCTGTAAGAATTTACTTTTATTAATAAACTAATATTAAAAATATATAATCAAATAATTAATATATAAAAAATGAGAACAATTTCATTTAAATATATTCTAAATTGAAATTATATCCATTAATGTTCATAATTTATCACATTCAACAAAGAAATTTTTATAAAATTCATATATAAGTCATTAAATATAATCAAATCCAAAAATTTAGCACGAGTTTAAAAGTGAGTTGACATGATTTTACAAGCTAAAAATGTAAAAACGGTAAATTCAATAAATGAACACGTAAGTTTAACCGAGTTTATTGTTATCATGAGTTTACAAATAAATCAACACAATTTTGTTAATTAAAAATGTAAAAACGTTAAACTCGTAGAGTCAACTTGCGAGTTTGACAACAGTGCTTATTTGTGAGAGAAGGAAAAAGTTGTAGGACAAGAAGCAGTAAATTTATGGAAAGCCGATATTAAACTTCTTTTATAAAAAGCTAATTAATTAATTTGGATAAATCAAAAAATTAAATGAGTTACTTAATTCTGAGGTATATGACATTGCATTCATGAAATATCTCTATACAATATTAGATTATATATCAGCTTTTTTAAGTTAGATAAGGTACATAATTTAAGAAAAATTATCATGAAAAATAAAATGGATTAATGTCATACATTTAGGATCAAACCAATTTCTTAACTATATGTAAGTCTTATATTTAAGACTGATGCACACAAATTGTGAATAACACAAGTGCACTTGTTAATCAAGTAATAAAAAGTAAGTATAGAGTATTGTTCCCACAGAAAATCAGATAAAATAGTGTTTAGAAATTAAAGTTTCTATTTTCAATTAAGTTAAACAAGCTGAATTATGGTTGATCGGATAAAAAGAATGAAGACAAAAAAAATTCATGATTAAAAGTAACCTAAAGTTACTAATCCCTTACTAGTTTCATAGACTTTTGCTTTTATTTAACTAATTAGTCTCAATATTAATTTAGTTAATATAAGTATTTATAGCTAAAAGTGTCTTTCAATCCACTTATAACCATTTTCTAAGTAATAAGGTTATGTCTAACTCAAATCTTTAAGAGGATAAATTAATTTCACTCTTCATCAATTATATGGGGCTCCAGATATATTTCTATCCTACTTGTAAATCAAATAAAAATCTAATTCCATATTACTAAATCCTAGAGCCTAATTAAAATTTCCTTCGTCAAAGCTAATCTAACCTAATGTTCAAACTCATATTTAATAAACGCCAAACATTAAATAGATAAATCAAAACAGGATTAATTAGTCAAAATTAACATCAAACATAATTAATTAAATGAAAACAAAGTCTAGTTCATAGGTAAGTTCATAATTACTCCATATTAAAGAAAAGAGCTATACACGGCTAAAATAAAATCCATAACGCGAAAGAATGAAAAAGAATGAAGAATCAGATATGAAACCTTCTCTAACTTCTCGTTGCCGCCAAGAGTCTTCTCTGTTTGATGTATCTCCGCCTCTCCGGTTTCTATTTATTGATTGCCTTCTTTTCCATATATCCTCTTGAATCTACCGCCTGTTATTCATATATCTCTAATATAATATATATTCTTCTGGTTTTAATATATAACCTAATTATTGAGTTAATTTTGTTTCTAAATATAAGAATTATTTTTTATATTTATCAATTTTTTCTAAATTACTTTTATGAATACTCTTTTAATTATAATTAAGTAAAAAAAAATGGAGGAAAATATTAAGAAAAATAATTTGGTGTTTTAAAAAAACATATTATATTTTTATAATTAACTAATTATCTAACTTTTTTAATCTAATCAAATTATTAAATAAGTCTCATAAGTACTAAAGAATATTATAATATGTTATATCATGATTGATTTGCCTTGCGTTACTGTTGCTTGCAATATCCACGGTTATCCTCTTTCTTTCTTTCTTTCTTTCTTTCTTTCGGATAAAGATTTTGTCTCCTTTCTTGTACTGTACAGTATTCAATATAATATAATATAATATATATATTACAATTGATTTGGTCCGTGAATCCACTTGCCTCACATCTCTCCACCCCTTTATGTCCTTAAGATAATATATTATATTACTATCTCGGTACTTAATATAAGACTTTGTTTAATTTTTATTTTGGTCCTAAATATAAGACTCCAATTCATTTTATTTCTTATATTTATATATATTTTTTTTCAAAGTAGCAGTTCTAACACTTGATTAGCAAGGATATTTTAGAAAAACAACACCTATTTAGGACAAATAACTAACTCAACTTACTTCCTTAATCTCTTCAAATTAGTCAACCGGTTCTTATAATTAGAATTGGAGGTAGTATATCATAATTGATGATCAGCTCCTTCCATGAACTTGGCGCCTCTCTCTTAATATACGTGTGTATATATTTATATTTGTTGCAAATGTTGTGTGACTTTTTTTTCTCTCAATAATTTTATATATCTTGCATTAAAAATAATACTACCTCTAGTTCTTAATATAAAACCTCATTTGACTTTTATTTTGGTCCTAAATATAAGATATCAATCTATTTTATCTCTTATATTTATAAATTTTTTTCCAAGATAGTCCTTCTAATAATAGTAGTTCTAACTAATACACTTGATTATCAAAGATATTTTAGAAAAAACAATTCTTATTTATTACAAATAACTAACTTATTTTCTGAATCTCCTCAAATTAGTTAATTGGCTCTTATAATTAGGATCTGAGGTGGTGAAAGATTTGAGTAGATTTTATACAAGATCATCTTTTATTCTATAATTGATTTAATTAAAAGAAGAAAACTTAATAAAAAATGGTTAAATAGGTATAAATTATTCACAGATTTTACTAAATATATTTCAAATTCTATACTTATTTAATTATAAAAATAATCATTATCAAATTCCTCCACACTTAAACTTTTGCATTCCTGAGCAAAAATTAATCTAAAATAGAAAGTACTTAAGAAGAGAGAGAAATTAAATTTACTAAGAAACTATAAAAATTAAAGTAGACAGAATTTAGGAACCAAGTTTACATTCAAGTCAATCACATATGAGGAAGCTCATATTAAGATAATAACTAAAACTATATATAACTAACTAACTTCTTCAAAAAAAAAAACTATATTTAACTCTTATAGTCATGATTCATGACTTATAAATTGAATAATATGACGTGAAAACTAAGCACAAATAGTATTAAATAATTATCCAAGTCAAATTTGCTTACACTGCATCTTTGTCCCACTCAATACTTACCCTTGAAAAAAGAGAACTCGACGACGTCCCCAATTTTCCTCCAGAGAACTTTAACATCGCTCCTTTTCAACAGTGAGGGACAACCTGCCATGATTGTTTCTTGTTAATTATTTATTTCCTTGTCATTGCCTATTATATCCATATCATAAATGGTTATTCCAGAAAGAGAGAGATAGAGAAGAAAAAGAAATCAGAGAGAGAGAGATTGAAGCAAATTAAGATGATGGAAACAGCGGTTCCTCATAGCTCTGTGACAGTGGAAGAAGTGCCTGCAAGTAACAAGGAAAACGGCCATGTCGTCAAGCCCTCTGATCCAAAGCAACTAGACGCAGGAGCACTCTTTGTTCTCAAATCCCGAGGTTATAGTTAAACAGTTTTTGCCTTCTTCATCAGTTTCAATTCCTGCTTTATCAGAAGTTTTGTTTATTTGAAACTGGCTTTATTACCACATGAATGATGATTCCTTCAATCTCATAACTTAGTTACTGTGTGTATCCGTGTAACTCTCTAAATCTTTCAGAATCACTTGAGATTCTGGGAGTGTTTGGATTGGGTGAAAAGTACTTTTTAAAGATAATTTTCTGTAGAACGAGATGAACTTCTCCACATATCTACTTGGTATACCATAAAACACTTTTAAAGCCGTAATTTTGATCCCAGTGTTTATTATTATTTTTAAGCAAAAGACACGCACACAGATGTATATTTGTGAGGAGAATCTGTCATGGTGTGGCTTATGGGAAAATAAACAGGATCATGGTTGCACAGTGGGTATCATCTGACAACATCGATAGTGGGGCCGGTGCTTTTGACTCTGCCATTCTCATTCACACTTCTGGGCTGGCCTGGTGGAGTCTTGTCTTTAACCCTAGCTGGTCTTGTTACCTTCTATTCTTATAATCTTTTATCTCTCGTCTTGGAGCGCCATGCACAGCTCGGGCATCGTCTGCTTCGCTTCCGAGATATGGCCACCCATACTTTAGGTATCCTTCCTTCTTATTGGCAAACATTTTGCACACTTATATATATCTATATCTATATCTATATCTATATGTATGTTTTCTATATTTATATATATGCTCATCTTTCTTTGTTTTTTTTTTTTTGTGTTAATGACAAAGAGAGGGCCTAATAAGCCCAAACAAGTTGACATATTTGTTTGACTCAGAGGGGCGCACATGCAACATGTTGAGGTTACAAGCAGGATACATACTGTGCTCTCCACTTACTAACAGGCTTTTATGAAGTAGCTGGTCAAAAAAAAAAAAAGGTTTTATGAAATAGGCTGCAAGCCTATTATTAACAAACGAGTTACTATTTCTAATTTTTAACATAAGCACTAGTTTGATTTTCAATTTGATCTTAATTATAAGACCCAATCCACTTTGTCTTTAATATTTATCTATTTTTTCTTAAAATAATCCCTATAATAGTTACATATGTTAAGGAGTTGCTATCAATTTGTAATTCAAACACGCATGATTAATAAGGATATTTTAGGGAAGACAATGTCTTTTTGTTACAAATAACTAATTTTATTAATCTCTTCAAATTAGTCAACTAGTTCTTATATTAAGGATTGAAGGTTAATGAAGTTAGTTAACTAATTTGAAGAGATTAAGAAAGTTAAGTTAGTTATTTGTGATAAATATGTGTTATTTTTCCTAAAATATCTTTGTTAATTAAATGTATTGGTAGAATTACTATTATTACAATGACTATCTTAGAAAAAAAGGATAAATATGAGAAACAAAATGGATTGAAGTTTTATATTTCAAAGCAAAATAAAAGTAAAACAAACTCTTATATTGAGTATTGGATGTAGTATTACTCAAATGTGGGGATAAAGATCCCAAGATGTGATTCTGCATCTAACATATAGGAGCCACATCAAAGTAGAGGCATCCATTTCCCATATGAAGACTCGTTTTGCAATAATATTTTTGATTTTCTAAAAGTATACTGAATATGAACAAACCGATCAGGTCTCATAATCTTTTTTATGCACACCCACCCTGTGGAAAACACATATTTGAATGTTATACCTGCGGTCGACTTCATTTGATTTTTATTTTAGTCCTAATTATAAGATCTCAATCCACTTTGTCTCTTATATTTATGTATTTTTTTTCCAAGATAGTTCTTCTAATAATAGTAGTTCTAGCTAATACACTTGATTAGCAAGAATATTTTACGAAAGACAACACCTATTTATTACAAATAACTAACTTAACTTGTTTTCTTAATCTCCTTAAATTAGTCTACCAGCTCTTATAATTAGGACTGCAGGTAGTATATTATTAGTGAGTCAATCCACTAGCAATTTGCAATCAAACTAAAAAATGATACTCCTAGAGGCTAACTAGTTAGGATGATAGTATTAGTCCTACATATACCTCAATCTATTTTATCTCTAATATTTATTATTTCCCCCCAAATTAAGTTATCTAACTGAAATATAGCTCTTCTTTCTTTCTTTTTTTTGTACACAAAGAGTAGTTCTTATATTAAGGATTATAGGTTGCTTTTTAAGCCAAGATCCCTCTCAAGCGATCATTCTGAAGCATTAAGAGGAGAGCACAGTTTCCATGAACTGTGAAAACCCTCCCATGCGATGTCCACTAGTGTTCCGCAAACCTCTGCATAACAACAGTTGGTTTTACTGATGCAGGGCCAAGATGGGCCAAATACTACGTAGGCCCACTTCAATTGGCTATATGCTTCGGCGCAGTTATTAGTGGTCCTCTTGTGGGAGGGCAAAGCCTCAAGGTTAGAAAATGGAAGCTCAATTTATTCAGACAATCATCAGTCATGTTCTTCGTTCCGATATTTTCTTCTCAGTATATATATATATATATATATATATATATTTATATGAACGTAAAACTTTTCAACTGTGTTACAACTTTTTATGTGCAGTTCATTTACATTCTGTACAACCCAGCAGGAACAATGAAGCTGTACCAATTCATAGTGATATGTGGGGTGATCACATTAGGGTTGGCTCAACTTCCATCATTCCATTCCCTAAGGCACATGAATCTTGTATCTCTTATTCTCTGTGTGGCTTATAGTGCTTGTGCCACAATTGGTTCCATATATATTGGTAAGCAAATTGAATCAGAACAGATACACATGGCCTCTTCAACAGAAAACTATAAAAAGAAAATATCTACCTATATATATATGTGCTGTGTGTGTGTATACATTTCAGGTCATCACTCAAAGAACATTGCAGCCTCCAGAAGCTATGCAGTGAATGGGAGTAGTATTGACAAGCTCTTCGGTGTCTTCAATGGCATTTCAATCATTGCTACAGCATATGCATGTGGTATCATTCCTGAAATACAGGTAATCAATTAGAACATGTTTTATCTTTCTTGTTTTTTTTAACACATGAAAATTTAAGTGAGATGGATCTCAGAAGCAATCAAGACATATTTTTAAACTCAAAAAACACTTACAAAGATACATATAAATCGATCTTTAATAAGGTTTGCACATCAACAGAAGGATTTGAATTTACAATTTGGTAGGTTATTACGAGTCAATTCCTTATGAATTAGACCAATATTTGTTGGTATTAATTAAAACTTGTTAAAGCATGTATAAATTGTCTACATTGACTTAACATCACTATACAAATTATAAGGGATGCATAGAGATGTCAACAAGTCTTGAAAGAAGTGTCACATTTAAAAGTGTTAAATGCTGTATATAAATTTATGGCAATCCTAATGAAATAGTTTAAGCTATTTTGGTGCAGGCAACTATAGCAGCACCTGTGAAAGGGAAGATGTTGAAAGGGCTAAGTGTATGCTATTGTGTGATAGTCACAACTTATTTCATGGTGGCAATATCAGGATATTGGGCATTTGGGAATCAAGCCAGTGTCACTATTATTGCTAGCTTCATGGCACAACAACAAAAGCCTCTTCTTCCCACTTGGTTTCTTTTGATCACCAACTTATTCACTCTCCTACAAGTACTCGCTGTCACTGTGGTAATTAAGAACAAAATTAAAGTTCATTCAATGCTTTCATTATTTTGCATGACACATCAGTTGATTCAGATACCATTCACAAACTTGGAACTTTTGATCCTTTTTTTTAACGAAATCAAATTTTTTTCACTTAATCTAGTCATTGTCGGTAGATTTCTTAGTTATTAATTGATGCAAAAGCAACTATCATGACACATTAATTCAAGAAATAATTTCTTGTCAAGTCTCATATAAGCAATCTAATCACTAAAAAGTCTCACAAATGAGTTGGAAATATGTAACAAGAAGATCCGGTGAAGAAAATGACAACAAGTCATGGCATATTGACAACTCATGAGACTTTCTAGTGATTGAATTACTTATGTGTGAGACTGCATAGTAATTCTCCATTAACTCAGTCACATTCTATAGTACTCCTTCGGTCCTAAATATAAGACTCTTATACTAGTGAGTATAAGGGTTTTATATTTAAGACCGGAAGAGTATGTTTCATGCAAATATCTAATATCTATTATTATATATTGAGTTAGATTCAAATATTGTTAGTTCATGTTTGGAGTACCTGCGATTTCCCCCTCCTATTCATGAGATTTGTCTTAACAACTCTGATATCATCATTTTGCAAATCTAATCATTATTGGTTGATTTCTTAGTTTCTGACATGTGGAAAACAACTTTCATGACACATTAATTTAAGGGAGATCTCACATAAGCAATTTAATTAATTACTAATAACAAAAAAAAATCTCATAATAAGTGAAAAATTTGCGGTGACAAGATTCGGTACAAGAAATGACAACATCTCATGACATATCAAGGGACTTTTTCGTGATTATATTACTTATATGGAACTGAATATTAATTCTCTTTTAATTCAGTGAAACAATATCTACTAGTATTCATTATTATCGAGCTAGATTAAAGCGTTTGTTAGTTCAGGTTGAGACAACCTGCGATTTTCCCCTCCTGTTCATGAGATTTGATTAAGGAGAATTGAGTGTCTTAACAACTATGATATCGTCATTTTGCAGATCTACTTGCAGCCAACAAATGAATTGTTCGAAACGATTTTTGCTGATCCAAAACTGGGAGAGTTCTCTATTAGAAATGTTGTGCCAAGATTGATTTCAAGGTCATTATCGGTGGTGGTGGCCACAGTATTGGCTGCGATGCTGCCATTCTTTGGAGATATAATGGCAGTGCTTGGTGCGTTTGGGTGCATTCCTATTGACTTCATTTTGCCAATGGTCTTCTTCAATCTTACTTTCAAGCCCTCCAAACGCAGCCTTCTCTTCTGGGGCAACACATTCATAGCTTTAGCTTCCTCAGTTTTGGTTGTCATTGGGGCCATAGCATCAGTTAGACAAATAGTCCTTGATGCCAAAACCTATAGTTTGTTTTCTGATCATTAATTATAATATATATGTATATATATATATATATATATCAACCTTTTGGTTTTTATATTAATCACATGAGGTAGTATTAAGCATCAGCAAAAAATTGCTGAATACTAATAATAAGGCATGGCAATTTCTATCGATTAGTTTTCAAAAATCATGGAGTTAGGAAGCATTATCAATAACTTTCAAATAATTATTATATTGATTTTGGAATGGGGGGACCCTTAATATAATTTAATTAATTCCCAAAATGGATCTTCTCTGAAAGATATAAGTAAAATGATATAAAAAATGCGAGTGAAAGAGGCAATTTAACAGGAGAAATGGTTGAAAAATTGACCTGTAACCACAAGAGATAAGAAAGGTGGCAAGAGAAGATGTGGTAGGTGGTAAGCGTTCAAAACATGAGTATATTAGTTAGAGATCATAAGCAATAATTTTAAAAAAGACTCTTTTTTTTTTGGTGGAAGAAAAAGACTTAATTGACTTAATGGAACTAAAATATCTTTGTAATTTTCGAACAAAAAAATCATGTTAATTAACCGGTAGTGGTGAAAGAATAATACATTTTCCCAAAAATTTAATTATGATAAATATATTTTTTTTTTCATGGGAACCATGTTGTACTTGCACCAAATTTGAGATTCGATATTGATACATTATCTTTTGTTTTTTTTAGTGATCTAGGGCAGATTGAGGCCTATGGCCCTCCCGCGATTCCCCTCGGTATCTAACGCCTTTTCCTGAGTCCCTGGCTTTCTAAACTGGACCAGGTAACCCAGGGCAACTGACCAATCCGAAGCGGGGTTATTTTTTTAGGCACGCCCATGTAAGGTGCTTTGCACCAAAGGCGGTAAACCCCTCCCAACAAGCGCAGCTCTAGGTTCGAACTCTCGTCCGCCTGATGTGTGTCAGGTGCCTTTACCATTGCACCCAACGCTTGGTGGTATATTGATACATTATCTGGTATATTGGTACATTATCTGTGACATTGATGTTTCTTGTGTTTGTCATTATAATTAATCATTTTTGTAGATAATAAAAAATATGAGAGCTTTTCCAAATTAATACTAATTAATAGTATATGAGTATTAATTAACGGTGACTATTGTAATTACAAGTACTCCTTTGGTTTATAAGTTACGTTACCACGTGGCCTCGTAGGGATGGTACGATGAGATCAGCGGCTTGGATGCATTGAGGAACACGAACTGCTGCTTATAGGCGAGCAGGCAGACGGCGAATCCCTTACTTCAAGTCCGTTTGTTATGACGGAATCGTTACGCGAAGTCGCTAACTCACGGGAACGCCCGCCACCGTCTCCCTCCGTCCCGCTTTCCGTCACCTGCTTTGTAACGGCGTCGTGTCTGTTTCCTCCGCTCCTCCGGAATCCTAATTTTCCGTTCTCTCTCTCCTCCCTCTCTTAATGGCTACTGAGGACTTCCCTCTCCTCGATTCCCCCTCCCACAACCCCCACTCGCAACCTCTCCTCCCGGCTCACACGCGCCACTTCCCTTCCTCCTCTAGCCCTACCACCGGCGTTGCACCTACCTCCGCCGATGCCGGTAACTCCTCCAACGCCGACTACTTCACTCAACCCTTCCCCGACGATGGCGAAGAGTCCTCTGATCCGAACAAATCCGCGTCTGGAGGTGTGACCCCTACTTCGAAGCGTACCGCCGTCGACAGCTCCTATTACTATAACAAGAAATTGAAATCCTCCGCCGCCGGTGGCGGAGGCAGCGTTGCTACGAGCGCTGAGCCTGATTTAGGATCCGAAGCGACTTACAGGGTCGATTACCGGAAGGATCGCGAGGAATGGAGCGACACGGCGATTGAGTGTCTCCTGGACGCTTACGCAGAGAAACTGAACCAACTGAATCGAGGAAATCTGCGCGGGCGCGATTGGGAGGATGTGGCGAGAGCAGTCAGCGAGCGTTGCTCTGTTGGTGGCGGTGTCGATGGAAAGAGCAAATCGTATAAAAGTGTGGAGCAATGCAAGAACAAGATTGATAATTTGAAGAAGAGGTACAAAGTGGAGCTTCAGAGGATAAGCAGTGGCGGCATCTCATCGAGTAACTGGCACTGGTTTAAAAAGATTGAAGCTATCGTTGGGAGCTCATTGCCTGTGAAGACGGTTTCCGATGATGAGAAGGGTGGTGGAGCTAATTCCTTGCCCGTGGCGAGACGCCCAAAGAACAGGTGCTAATTCATTCGATATCCTTTTTTATTTTTTTATTCGGCCAAAATAGTTCGATATCATCTTCATTTTGTTCTGCATTGCAATTATTTTTTTCCTTTCGGGGATAAAAAAAAAAAATCTTTAGTAGGAAGAGATAGAATTATGATGAAGGAGGATAAGACAGACCTTTAAAAGGGGACGAACTCCTGGATTTCAGCGAAAAGGAATCTCATTAAAAAACCGTGAACAGAACACCCAATGAAAGCAAGAGACTATACTCAAAAGTCTTTTATGCATGTGCTTGTTGTACCAGATATGCATTGTATCATGCTTTTGCTGTTTGTGCATTTTTTCTGTAGATGTAGAATTAGAATGAATTATCAACGGAAAAAAAAAAAACAGACTGTTTCTGGGTGTTAGAGCTTCTGTCATTATGGGTTTGTAGAATTTGTGGTTGAATAATGGGAATTTGTTCTGGCGGTGATATCACTCCTTTATAAAGTTGATAGCTATGCTCTGCTGATACGGTTGCTTGTTTGTGGAATGTATTTACATATATTGGCAGATATACGCCTACCAACGTTGCAGTGTTGAATAACCCGAAAACAAAACCAGCATCTAATCTCAAATGGCATAGAGTTCTGTTTAAAATCAGTGGATCTGCGTTGGCTGGAAACTGCCAAAGTATTGACCCCAAGGTGCCACTTTTGTTCGTGATCCTATTACACATTTAATGATCATTCGGGATATTTGAATAAATAGATTGTTTCCTACTCTTAGAGACTTCTTAACTGGAAACTGCAATTCAAATGCTTCCTTCCATCATTAGGTGGCAATGCAGATTGCTGGGGAAGTGGCGACAGCTTGCCGCCTTGGTGTAGAGGTATCCCTCACCTTGTTTATTCCTTACTTTTGGTTTATTGAACAATCTTTTTTCTTTTGGGATTTCGTTTATGTCTTCATTTCTGGAGGCTCAATTTAAATTTTAATACAATACTCAGGTTGCCATTGTCGTTGGTGGTCGTAACTTCTTTTGTGGAGATTCCTGGGTGTCTGCTACTGGGTTGGACAGACCTACGGCCTACCAAATTGGGTAAATATTTTCTTCTTTTGCTTGCGAATTGCTCACTGCAATCACTCATCATTAATTAAAATCCTTTCATAGTGATAAGCATGTGTTAGTACATTTTGTGAGGCCATTATGGAGTGAGTAGGATTGAGAAAATACAATCGGACGGTGACAGACAGTAGTTTTCTAGCTGTTGTGTTTGCTAAATTTAACCCAATACTTACGCGCGCGCGTGTGAGAGAGAGAGAGAGTATTGTGTTGCAATAGCAACTCTCTATTCATATTCATTCCCTCTTCCTGATCAATTAGAAACCCAAAACCAAATAACTCTTTCCACTAAATTATGTTTGTTTCCCAGTCTTCAGTTATACTTCTTGTGCTGATCATACGGTTATTGCCTGTAAAACAAGTATGATGGCTACGGTTATGAATTCTATTCTGCTTCACTCTGCTTTGGAGAAGCTGGGTATTCAGGCACGCATTCAAAGTGCATTCTCTGTGCCAGAGATTGCTGAACCTTATAGCAGACAACGGGCTATCCGACATCTCGAGAAAGGAAGGGTCGTCATATTGGGTGGTGTTGGTGCCGCCACTGGAAATCCTCTCTTTACCACTGATACAGCTGCAGCTCTGAGAGCTTCCGAGCGTATGACCTTATGCCCTTATCTGTGATGTCTCATCTTGATTTAAATTTATGTTGTTATACTACTTTTGCATCTAGCCTCGGATCAAGTATCGCATCCCTCTTAATTATTACCCTATTATCTTGTTTATTTCTTTTTCCAGTTAGTGCAGATGTTATGCTGAAAGGAACCAATGCTAGTGGGGCCTATGATTGCCATACTGGCAGTGAGAATGTTACACTTGATCACATTTCTTTTCGAGAAGTTGCTTCGAGGGGCATCACTTCCATAGATATGATGACGTTAGCATGCTGTGAAGAGAATGGAATTCCAGGTTGGTCTTGGTTCAGTGTTGGTATTTCTATGATTCCATTGAATTTGTCTTTTTGTCTGAAGTACTGCTTCTTCAGTTGTAGTCTTCAACATGCTTGAACCGGGAAATGTTTCAAGAGCACTATGTGGAGATCAAATTGGCACTTTGATTGATCAAACAGGAAGTATTAATTAAACGAGGCAGAGCATGCCCTTTTTAGTTGACATCAAATCTGTGTATTAATAGTCACAATAAATTGCTGAATCTTATTATTATTATTATTATTGAATTTACTCCCCATAATGAGGTGATCGATTTGTTGATGATCTTATCAAGTCTATAGATTTGCTGTATTATAAAGGAAATATCTATACGGGCAGGGACGAAATGATTATTAAACTTCGCAGCATTATGAACGATCTAGAGAGAACCTAAGTTTTGCAATCCCACTGAAATTTAAACCGGAGTTGTTTTATTTACGGCAACGTACCAACTGTTTGGCCCGGAACACAACCGGTATCAACGCTCACACAAACTTGAATCCGAGTTCTCTAAAATTAAACGCAAAATTTGTGTTATATGTATAAAGGTAAACAAATTTTACATGTAAATTTTATCATCTTTAAAGGCTCAACCTCCTGATCCAAATCTAAATATTTTTGCCAGCTTTATTAGGCGTTATCTTCATGATAATAATGGATAATCGACAAAATGCTTCTAAATATTTTGAGACGTTCAGCAATTGCCTCGCCAGCAGTCCCTGATTTTAAGGAGGTAATTTCCTGATGAGTCTCGAAAATAAATTATCATAGAAAGAGCTAATTGGCTTGCAAGTTTCTTATAAATTGAAAAGAATCATCAAAGAAAAATGTAATTTGGAAAAATGGACATCATATTAAAATAAAATGCCAAAATCAGATGCTAAAATCGAGACTATGGTCCTGTTTGGTAGAGCAGTAAAAATCTCCCATAAACCTATTTTACGTAAATCGAGACAAAACTCTTTTTACATACTTGTCTTGTATTTCGCAAATGACTATTGAAAAGCTACTTAACAGCTTATAAACTGTTCCAAACAGGCCCTGTATGAATCAAGGAAAGGGCCGCTTTTACATTAGAATGATTAGCGACAACATTTATTCTTTCTGTACATTGATTCCTCTTAACAAATAATAAAATATTAATAAAAATCGTCTGTACAAGGTAACCAACCCCGCACAAAAATAAAGCAATGTTATCAACTGTTATTTGCCACCTTATTTACATCATGTAGCAAGGAATTGGCCACCATGGTACACAATTACTCTCTGCGTCTGCCATCAAAATTTCAAAGCTCCATAGAAATGTCTGTGCCAGCTACCAAGAAGTCTTTCAGCTATCTAATAGCCTGTACAAATCCAGAGACCCAGTAAAAATGGCAGGGTCCTCCATTACTCAATTCTTCATCTCATGGGTGATTAAGCATTATAGATTAGGCTTACTAAAGATACCAAAACCTGCTTGATCTAAACAGAAAACTTCCTTTCCTTCCCCCCTTTCCTTCCCTGTAAAGTATTTTTCAGCCGCCTTCACTCAACAGTTCATTCAGATTTAAAATAACTATCATCAATCGACAAATGATCAAATGCATCAAAATTTGCTCTTAAACCAACAAGCTGGCTACTTAGCCGCGCACAACCAGCATTTGGCCACCTGCAGCGTCGACTTGGAGTACGAAGTGGGCATAGCGCTTCACATACTTGAACAAATGCATTGCTTGCATGATCGTCATGATCATCACCCTCCGTGACTGCTACTGAAACAGACAGATCCTTCTTGTCGTCATGTGAAGTGCTATCCAAGTCCTTTTTCGTGGAAGGGTACATAGTGGTTTGTGCTGATCCCACTAAGTTGCTTTCAATATCAAAGACACAATCTCCATTGTCAGATAAGTGAAACTTGCACCCCAATGACTGAATGGCTCGTTTTATGGCCACATTCTCTTTGCTTGTTTTCTTGGTCATGTTCATAGCTGACCATCTTAACTGTTTCTCATTTCGTAATTCTGAACTCAATGATTCCATGGCAATTTCAATTTCTTTGGATTTCATCTCCGCCAATTCTTTAGCCTGTTACACATTCCACATAGCAAAAGCTTTTACTTTAAAAAGAAAATCCAGACAGAACGGTTCAATTCAATTGGGACTACACAAAGCCAAGAACAGGTACAAGAGATTACAAGGACAACACACACATAGACCTGATCTCCCAAACATAGGGGGCCCAAATCAATCCTGAGACACATGCATGACAGTCATCGTTTTCAACAGAATTCATCTCCTCACATGTTTATTTATGAGTGTCTTATCTTACCTATCTTTCAAAGGGTCAGTCCACTTGAAAATTTCTGGACATGAGACAAGTTCTATGATGTTGCCAAATTAAGGATGTCAACAGTGTGTTAAAATGACTACATGACCATCATAAATGATGAAAATGAGAAGGGAAGCAGCTTTCAGATAAGATGTATTAATTACCAAATCAGACAATTAAAAAAAAAAAAATCCACCTTTTGCATGTCAGAGTATTTCAGAAACATTTGTCTACATTCTGCTTCAATTTCAGCAGCAGCTTGCGCTTCTTCCGGACAAGCCCAGCGAAGAAGAAATTGGGGCCAGAGTGTTGGGGCTAAAGCTGCTGCTGGGGGCAAGATAGGACCGTTGTACTTCAATGGATCATAATAGAGATTATAATGCACATGAGATTTTCCTTCAGAAGCACGCAAGTCAGCCAAGAATGCCCACAAACATCCACACGCTTCAAAAACATTGCATTGCTGCCTTTCCTTCTCACTGGACGGAAAATGCAATCAAAACAACATATTATTTCTACTACATCAAGAAAGAATACAAAATTAAAACTAACTTCTACGTTTATCCAAAATTTTCCTGAGACCAGTATAAAGTTTATGGCAGATGAGATTTCACAGTACTCCTGAAGGCAAAGGAAGACATATGGACAGTGGATTTCAAAGTTGGACTTTTCTTATGCAAGCTACTAACCACCAGACCAATAAGTTTGGCTCAGTGGTATCAGTATTCTGCGTGTCTCCAGGGCTGATGAATCATAGTTCAGATCGAACCTGAAGTCAAACTAACCAAATAATGCCTATTGATTGACTTAACTGTTTCTTAGAGCACACCGCCTAAATTAGGAAGAAAAAGAAGTTACACAAAACAAATCCCAGACTCCTGTCTTGACAAATCATAAACTAAGCTAATTCAGAACCAAACACTTAAGGTCTCAAATAATATTGCCAGTTGGTGACAGTTACTATCGGCCACCATACTTGTGAGACCTTTTGTTTTTTTTAAAAACACCCCCGCCCCAAGGGAAAAGGAATAACTAAGATGTGATTTTATTTGCGGGCATTTTTTTTCTCAAAAATTATTTCACAACGTATAAGCCTTCTTCTAGCAAAGTTTGCATCAACTGGGAATAATGTTTATTTCAGGATCCTGAACCATATATCATTATCCAACCCATCTAGCCATCTCAGCACCTTGTTTAAGCAACATGTTTTCTACTGATTGGCCAACATATGTTCAAATGGAGGGGCACATCAAACCTAAAAAGATGCCAGAGACCTTAGCCATCCCATAGAAAAGAAAATTTCTCAAAAACCAAATACCTATTACATAAGAAGTTTCCAAATCGACAAGAAAGAACACAGTCCAGGAAGTCCACCAGGAAAACCTGAATCAAGAAATAGTGCAAGTAATCAGTGATCAAAACCAAACATAGATAAGAAATATCCGTATATACGAACATCAGAAAAGGCAGACATGGAAGAGTGACATGTACCGAGGAGAACTCAAAAGCAAAAGGATACATCCGCAATAGTTGCGAAACACAATCAACCCACTGAAGAGAAACAAAAAGCAGACCATTAGTCAATATTACATGAACACCAGAGTCTGGACATCAGTGCTATGCAGTGTACAACCTGCACCAGCAGGTGAAGCATGGAGAGAAGACCTATAGACATTATGCTAGCTTCTAGACTGAGGTTACTGTGGCGACAGACAACAAATTAATCATAAAACTTTCATTTTCAATTTCAGTTAAATTATCATCACTTTGTAAAGCAAGTTGAAGACAGAAACCATCTAACGAGTAACAATAACGCTCAATTGCACGTTAACAAGCAAACTATTATGCTTCCTCAAGTATTTTCTTTTGAAATTTGATCCAACTTTTATACTTTTAAACCTGCAAAAACATGTATTTCTTATCATAGTTTTAGTAGCCAGAGCAGATAACTCAGTAACCAGCCACCAATCCATTTTGGACCAACTTCTAACTTAAAAGAAATAAAAATTTGTGATTCCACTATCTCCCTTATTAGATGCACGAACTTATCTCATTAACGGCCACTGTATGGAGAAACTACCATTTAATTCTACTTTCCACTTCTAAAATTTACAGATGCTGGAGCTTCCAAGTTCTTAATATCCCGCTAATGTGCCACTTCACGCCCCTATGTTTTCTTTGGTAAATTACTCTCGGTCCCCTTGAAAGATACCTAAATTACATGAATTATATCTCTATTTTGGAAAATTACACTCACTTCCCTTTCAAGCAAAATATGTGCTGAGAGTAAATATTTGACAAGTATGATTGGACACTTTTCATAATTGAGAAATTTGTAAAATCAATTAGTTAAAAAGTCGTCAATAAGAATGCAAAACATAACCATCAAACAATTGTCTAAAATCAGGCAACAAAAAGATTATGGACGACAATGAGGGAGAGACCTATATAAAAAGAGAAGTGCTGAGACTCTAACCAAGTTGAACAATTGAAATTACAGGCATCAATTAAACGATACCTAGATGTTATTAAAGAAACAAACCTGCAAAAAAATGGGAGAGTAGTGGTTTGAAGTCTGTGCATGAGAGGCGGATGACTGAGATGTGAATGATGACTGGCGCATGGGTGGTGAAGGGCAAGTTCCAGTAGAAGACTGTCTAGTCAACTCAAAAGGCATGCTGCCACTTCCAGAGACTGAGGGCGTTCCCATACGATCTGAAAATGGGTGACCAAATGCTAGCCAGTCTTTTTCAACAAGTGCCTGCATGAGGAAGAGACTTTGAAGAACAAAAGCACAACAGAAAGATCTAAGGTCATTGCTATAGTTTCCACATATGACACGCATGATGAAAAGTGATTTGTCCGAAGTTAAATGTAGAACTAGAATGAAACCAGAAACAAACTGCAAGAATGTGGAAGGACTGCTTCTTTAATATACCTCCCAAGGAATAGATGCATACCGGAGCTGTTTACCCCACAATCTTTTTCATCCTAGGTATTGGGGAAGCATCCAAAGTGCTTGTGTTTGGTACATTGGTAAGTCAGATGTTTGTAGTCATCCAAACCAAAAGGCAACAGTGATACGTTTGGATCGCATCTAGGTAAGCAACCCCCAACAGAAAAACCCACCCAGGGAGAGTGGGGATTCAATCCCAAAGTCCTTGCTGTACCAATTGTAAACCTAACATGGAATTTTAAATGCAGACGAAAGCAATAGGAAGAAAGAAGAAATATGACAGAACAGTGTCATTTCTTATTACTTTCTTGAGAAGGCCAATACATGACGTATTAGAACAGAAGGAGACGACAGTCTGTCTCATGACCCAAATTGATGCAATGGAAACAAGCAAAAAATTAGGAGGATAGTTACGATTAGAAGGATATATCACATGTTAAAACATAGTAAAAAAACATGGCAAAACGGAGGTACTATGATAAGAACTAACTTCCTTCACTAGTTTAGTCTTAGAAGAGGCATGGCAGCTCCGCTTCAGATGAAGACTTATCTAGGATTAGATATTGTAATATTTGTGTTTTATGTTTTATGTCTAAATGTGGACCCATGTTATGTGTCTTTTGTTAACCATTACAAATGTCTTGTCAGTTACCATATGTTATTATCAGTTTCATGCATCTAGGGCATGAAAGTTATTTTTAGTTACTGTGTCAGACTATAATATCATATTAAGCATTCTGCCAAGGACATGAATGAAGTACTATTCAGAAAACTTCGGGAAATCTCCTACTTCTAGAATTAGATTTTGATTCTAGAAGACTTCCATACCCACTTTCTCCTTCGTTCCCTCTTTCTACCCCTTATTCTAGCAAAAGGTATGGAGTCCTCTGAAAAGGGGTAGAGGAAAGCCAAACATAACACTCTATGAAACTATTAAGTGAGATCTTTCGATTAACAATCTACCCAAAAATTTGGCTGTTGATAAAGCCTAATGGTGTTGTACGATTCATGTAACCAATCCTATCTAGTGAAATAAGGGTATGTTGTTGTTGTTGTATCCTTTCTTTTTCTCTATCAAGTTTCAACCATACCATCGCATGTGACTTTTTGACAAATACCACAATATTATTATACTTGAGCGTCCTACAGCATGCCATGAATATACAAGAGAATTTAAGACACTGTTATACCAAATAGCTCCTTAATAGAATAGTAATAAAAGTCATTACCTGAAACCCTGTGAATGTGCGATAGAAGGGATCAAGTAACAAATCAGCAAGAGAAACCAATTGACTTGTTCTATCCCAGCCATCACTGATCAAAGCACAGACTTGGATTTTAAATACCAAATCAATTTGACTATGGACAGCAAACTGAAAAATACACAATTATATGCACCTGCAATGTACAAGAACAGAAGCCTTTTCCATATGAAGGCGAGCAGCAATCCAAGCAGCACCAGCTAAGACACTTTGAACGTGTAGTAGCCATCCACTGTCCCCAAGAGTAGATACTGAAGTAGACATACTACTTAGATTGCCTCCACCCCATGTTGACCCACCATGTCTCTATAAACCCCATAGAAACACATATAGTTGGTAAAACCCATACAAAAAAATCATCCAACCCATAATAAATACGATAATATTGCTAAAGTCCAATAGAATAGCATAAAAATGCCATTCACTGAAATTCTTGCCAAAACAAAGAGGTGTTAACTAAAATGTCCCATAACAAGTGAATGACAAGTTCTAATGCAGGAAATGACAAGATTCATGCTGCTCACTTGTCATTGGGACTTTTTGGTAATTGTGTTCTTTCTTTGGGACCTCAAAGTGGCTTCCCTTGAGCCCACAGAAAAACAGAGTTGGTAGAAAAACTGCTCAAAGATAATGTAGTGCATAACAAATAAGATGATCATCCTTGACATATGTAAAATAGCATTAAAAATGTCATTAATTCAGATTCTCGCCACAACATAGTTAAGCTAACATTTTCCCCATAAAATTGTAAGCAAGATGAATGTCACAAACATCAAGCGGAGAAGAACCATTATCTGGAACAAATTACCGGTTAGTAACATATTTTCAGCATGGAATTCTTCTCACAGCTATACAGTCAAATGGAGATAATTTAAGAATGACAACATCAATTGACATCGTTTCCAGGAGAGAGATTAAACTTTAGTCACATAAAAGGATGAATCGTGAAAGAAATCAGATAACATTTATGCATATGTCAGGGTCCAGAGTTATCCTTCTGATATCAACCATGACAACAGGTGTTTCAATTTCAATCCCGCAATGTGCAAACCCATTACTCCTTTGGAGGAATCCAGTGCAAAAACCTTTGTAATCAATGGCCTAGCCCTACTCAATATACCAAGGAAACAAATAACTAGACCTCTCTTAAGATTCTTAGACTAACCAAGAAAGATGACATTCCATCTGATGATGATTTGCCATGAGTGTCTAGGTATTCTCTTAGCCGAGCAAAGCTTTCTCTCATTGCATGGATGTTGTCTATACCAAAAAAACTACCTGATGATATATCAGGAGACAGATGTTTAGAATATGTGGCTACATTTATGACTAAAAGAAATCATACGCGGACAGGTCAAGACTTCTACAGACCTCACACTGAAAGTAATTTGAAGATGATTCCGAACCACCTCCCATGGCCCCATTAGCTAATGCATTTTTCCTCGGTCTTGCATCAGCAATATAAAGCTTCCTAAAAGAAGAAAAAACAAGCAAGTTAATTGCCCATTAAGTTATTAAAAACATGACCACTGGAAAAAGCCTACTCTACTGTCAGTGATAAAGTAAACTTTTGGCACCGTACTACTATAAGATTCAACAGAAACATTGTTCATAATGATATTAATTAATACGGAAAGTAATTTACATCAGGAAGCCCTCACTAATTAACATCTAATGCAATATTTACCAAGTCTAGGTGAGTCATAGACGCATGTGATAGTTTTACTCATGTTGCTAGGAGTAACATGTTGATGGACATATTATGAAGGAAACTACAGTCTTACCTGCGCGAGCCATCATAAAGTTTGCCACATAATCCAGCGACGAGCTTTTCATCTGCATTGCTGCAGGTAAGTACACAAAAGCAAATCACTATTTATGAAGCAAAAAACCCATTATCAAACACTGAATTGTCATATGTGTCATTGGTACTATACATAATCCTTTAAAAAATAGTGACAGTCCGATCCCTCCAAACGTCCACCAAAAACCACAAAACCTTTCTCATTTGGCATTCACATGGTAGGTTTGATTAAATAGTCTGTAGTACCTCCTCATATTCATCATGAGGCCAACTAAAGGTTGGGATGAACGTGCAAGAACCGCTCCGTATCTATAAGTTGTCACTTGCATTAAGGCAATAGTATTGAATTGAGATATCAAATGTAAAATAATTAGAAGAAACCAAAATCAAAATAAGAAGCACAAAATTCTCAATTAATGAAAATAGCAGAACCATGACTACACGTATACCTGGGTGGCACCATGAAACTACAGGAACCCGACATCTACCACGAAAGCTGGAAGCTTGTTGCACTTCATCATCACTAGCATCAAGATCATGTAAAGTTGTCGAACAAATGGTTCAGCAAAATAAATCTTGGAAAAAATAGAACATTTGTATATTAGTGATATACCTTATGGTCTTTGGTACAATCAAAGCGAAAGGATAACTCTGGCACACGTTGTAGTTAGAGTTCACTTTACTTATTCTCCACAAGTCATTTGACAAGGTAAAGGATCCACTTTCAATCATATTGCTTGAAGCACGGTAAAAGCGTTTTCCAAGAAGCCGGAAATACTCATCTAGTAGGCGCACCTTTGGGTTAGAGTTAGTAAACTTAGAAGGTCCACATATAAATGCATAAAGATCCCATAGTACAGCTGGCTTTGTACTTCTTAGTAAGGCATCAAATATGACACGCCTCTGTAAAATTTAATAACAAAAATTAAAACCTTCACATCAAGGAAGAACGTGACAGCATCCACTCGTAGTTCACAACACAATCTCAGCAACTAAAAACAATTTACCAATGTAAGATCATGTAACTATTTCTTGAGGAATCCTTTTATGTTAACCATAACAAGTAACCTTACCATAAGAGTTCAGTTAGACTATTAAGAAACGGAAATTATTGACTATTTGAGCAAAAATGCCACTCATGCATGATGGTTAGCTGTTTCATGCTTCAAAACTCAAAACAAATGTTTAGGGGATGTAACTCATTCAACTCATTTGAGGTCAGGAACTGGGGCTTTATAATGCTAGCATTTTGAAACACCATCCGTACTTTCAGAAGCATCTAAGATGGGCCAAGCGCGTGTTGGAGTGGCACATTTTGAGGCACAAAAAGCTAACCGTTTGGCTTGTGATGACAGAAGATGACATAGGTAATCCTATGGTTTAAAATTTGCATGCAGAGCCAAGCAGGGGAAAGCATAATTGTACTTCTACACGAAAAATATGCGCCATTTGTAGAGAATAAGGGCTACAAAGAATGCCTTCAGGATTTAAAAAAAAAAAAAAAGAATCTGTTATGAATGCCATGATTACTGTCCAGTAGAATTACCTGCTTTGTACGAGGCCTGAAACCAAAAACGATAATTCTCATATCTTTTCCTACACAGAAGAGAAAATATAAATAATCAGACAAAGCTAACAAAGAATAAAGCAAAACATTAAATAGAGAACAGAATATAATAGGAAGACGAATGGTAAGGATGTTGCAAGGATTTACAAAGTAGTGCATTATTTGCAGTATTATGGTAGCTTATACTAGAGATCAATGACCAGAGTTCTACATCAAAGATTTTAAGCCATGGAAGTTCTGGAGGATAAGTCAGTTTTTCTAGGTTTGTCCTGGGCCCCTACAAGATTAAGATTTTTTAAGGGTTATATCTGTTTCCATAGTAAAAAATTGGAAGGCTCTTTGGGCTGATGTATTGTTTCATTTTGTTTTTTTCCCAGTTTGTCATGTGCTTTTTACTTCTATCCTCCTCTAATCAATATTTTTTTTTTTTAATTATAAGCAACATTAAGATAACAAACCAAAACTGGCAGAAGTTCAGGGATAAATAACCACCTTTGTTCTGCATTATGAAGTGGCTCAGCAGATTTTGAATAAGCCGTTTGATTGAAGAAGCAGACAAGAAGGAGGAGGAGGAGGAGGAGGAGACTTAAACTAATTGGGAACTTAAGATGAGTGGTGGAAAAATAAACTATCCAATTATAAATACCCTAACAAATAATATTTCTTATTCAAACACCATTATAATAAAATTCCCTCCACTCATTGTCAAAGTTCTAACTCTGGGCATATTGTAAATCTCATTGATGTCAGCTTATTTTTAGCTGTTTAACGATCATGTAGATTATTTGTTGTTGGGAGAGAGAATTTCAAGGATTGCATTGAAAACATCATCTCTACACCAAGAACCATTCTCTTGACAAGGAAATAATCTCATAAAAGAATAAAATCTATAATAACTTGTCATTCATTGTTAGCCGCCACCACATTCGTCCATCAAACTAACTTTAACTGCAACAAAACGTAATCAGATTGGAAATAAATATGAATTTGTAGCATGCCATAACTTATAACACCCCCAAATTCCAATTAATTAAAAGATCATTCTTCCATTTTATCATTTTGATAAACCTACAAGCATTATATTGCGCCAATCTAATCCATAAACATCATGTAAGTTTATTTGCTTCAACACTTTAAAGCAGCAACTTCTTGATGGAATAATAATTCTCAGTTCTTGTTATGCATTGGGTCAGTACTAACTTCCACAGCAATTTCACATGGAATGTGATTTTCATCACAATGAAGAGGCCCAATTTGATGGTGTTGTGCATGCTTAGAAATCCTTTAGCATATTAGGTTTAAAGGAAATGCTCAAATTTTCAAGGACTCTCATAGGGTATAACTATATAATTTCTCAAGATCTCAGCCAATGCTTTTCTTATAATGTTACTATCTCCAACATACAAAGGGATTCATTGACTTTGTTGTATTTTTACCCTCTTCAGCAGTAGTCTTTCTCTATGCTCACTTGGAGGAGATTTTGCATAGTGGTCTCAATAATTCGAGAATGTAAAGGAAACTTTTATTTAGAGAAACTTATTTGAGATCATACCAATAACCTGGAGCAGTCTTTGTGGGGGTGTCTTGTCTAATTGACGATTGGCTGACTGCATCTTTACAGCCTACAGGTAAAGGACAGCGAAAAGCTTTAAATCAAGTAAAAGTAGAATGCAAACACGATAAAAGAGGAAAACAACATGGAATTCGATGCATAAATAGATCACCTGGTTGAAATTTGAAAAATACATCATAGATAATGATTAATAATATTACACAAATCAATATGGAAAAAAAAGATAATATGAACATCCATTCCCTGTGGCTCTGCTTATATGAACATACAAAACCAGTAGCAAAAATAATGTACTTAGCATATGTGAAATAGGCTAAAAAGGAAAGATGGTTATGCTTAATATAACTGAGCACATGCAGAATAAAGAAATCTACAGCATAAATTGTACATTTGATTTGAAAACTTACTATCTTGTTAAACTTCTCAATTGTTGCAAGTGCAATCGTTCCAAGGGCAATAATATTTCTAGTTCGATCACTCTAGAAAAAGTAAGAGCACATCAGAGGACATTACTCAGTAAAGTAAACATGCAGATGGAAAAAAAAAAAAAATCTAGCACCTCCAGACATGGATTACAAAAATATAAAAGCTAATATATTCAGCAACAAATGCTCAGAAACTGAATATTTTTATTTTATCAGGACTCATGCGCTTCAATAAAGGCGAATGCAATGATATTAACAGGAACACAATAAAAGTTAGTGTCAGAATCAGATCAGATCAGATCAGATCAAATCAAATCAAATCTCTTCTAGCCGTTAGAATCAGATCCCCAATTACCTGTTGTTTCTATTTTTAATCCCTAGAATCACGGTCCCATATCAATGGGATTTCTCTCCCTTAATTTTCATTTAATGTGATCAGAATTCCAAATATATTATGAGGAAATCTGATCCTATTTATGTACTGCTCTCCTATTGGAATCATCTATCAATTACATTCGAATTATTCACAATAGTTAGGAAAATAGAATCGAAAGTCAGAGATGAGTTGGTAGAATTGTGTGACATAGTGACTAAATGACAGAGGAAAACACGCCAGAAAATAGAGCACAGGAGAATTCTGTCATAATGGGTTTGGCCCATGGGGAAGCAATCAGGGAACAGCATAATCATTATTAATGGTAGGTCAAACCATATCACTATGGTGTGTTAATCAGAATGAGTCGGTTGTAAAATACAAGGCTTATTTATGATGCATATAGATGTATATAAATACCTAGGCTACTGTGTATTGTTCAGAGTGGAAATTCAATTCATTTATAGTTAACAGGAGTTCTGCAATCATCCTTCATTGCAGCTTCATTTCTGAATCTCCACAGAGGTTCCTTCTTCTGTTTTCTTGCTAATAAAGGAAAAAAAAGTCTCATGTACTAACATAATAGTCCTGTTTTCATATTTATTCTTGGTCTTCGAAGCTTTTCATTCTCCCAAAATTACTAAGCAAGAATTTCAGACAAACATTATTATGTTTATCACCTTACTGGGGGGTGGGTGATTCTAAGTCACACCTCTAGGTCCTGTCCTAACATCATAATGCCTAATCAAAATCTAAATTTCAGATGACGAAATATTATCTGAAGGACTTACCAGAAAAACAAGACGAAAATTTGTGACCACCAATGTGCCTGCATCATCTGAATTAATAAGAACAACGCCATGTCCCTGAACATAAACATCATATGCAGATAATTTTCGTCTAGAATAGATTCACTTATAATAAATGTAAATTAAAACACTGGGACTTGAATTTCTAATGACGATAGATGTTAATAGTCCCTTGAGAAGTTCTAGATACAAGCTGAGATAAACCATCATATTAGCTGACTTATATTGACTTAGTATAATCCTTTGGCTGGATTTTTTAGGGTCAGAAAGTTAAAGTAATGAATAAGTATATAATTCAATCTATTTTTCAGTTGAGTCACCAATATTGAGGATGAGGTATTTGTTTAAAACATGCTAGTAACTAATTAATAATGATGGTCGAATGCATGTGTGCTTTGTCAGTCTCAAGAATTCTTTCAAAACTCGAGAGCACACTGGTTGCTGCAGTATCCCCATAACCCTACATCTAACTTATACAGAGAATGAGAAGAAATAACCAGAAGAGGAGAGATAAATAACAGGTAAGGGCAGAGGGGGTGAGATAGAAAAAGTAAACACTCGAGGACACAAACAGGACGCGTAGCCACAAAGGATGCAAGAAAGAATGAATGAAGTGAATGAGGCGTTGAAAGGCAGGGAGTGTGCAAACAGAAGTTAAAATGACTCCCAAAAGTGGCCCTTATTGTATTGACACATGGCGTGCACGTCACACCACTAGACACCCTTAACAGCCATGCTAATAAATTAGCAGCAGTGTTATCAAAATTGGATATAAACAAACAGTTCAACAGGAGAAAAAAAATGTTTCGGAATGTCCACACCAAGAAGTCATTTCGGGAATCCATAGCTTAGATAATCTCCAAAAATAGAAAGTCTTTCTCTTTTCTGGGGAGAGCAGCAAGAAGAAAACAAATGAATAATGAATATGCTTTCCCTACGGCAAAAGGGGGAAAAATGAGCAGGTTAGGCTCCAGCTGTTCGATGCTTCTTTTTTTCATTTTTTGGTTGTTGGTTCAAAAACACATAATTTTCCCAGGCTAAACATTTTCTTCCTGTATTCTAATGTTACATAGGTAGTTAGGATGGAATCTGACAATGGTGATGGTTTTCCTGAAATATGGATTTAATCTCAACAAATGTTACAATATATTATCGGTTGTTTGTTTAGAGTTGAAGTTGTATATGACATGTTTGGATTTGAATAAAAACTATAAAATGTTTTTTTTTTGCTTCCTCATATAATATTTTAATATACAGAATAAAAATATAATAATGTAATTATGACTTGTTTGACAAGATTCAACCATGATCAACCAAGGAATCTTGAACCAGAACTTCATGTCAATGACCAGCCAATTATAAAATTTATAATATTGCTAAGACATGAATTACAGGGGACGTTCGCTAAGCATTTGTTTACTTGGGTATATCTTCATCCTAATTCTTACAAGATAAGGGTTTTGAAAACTGCTTAAAAATATTTATCCACACACTAATAACTTGTGATTTCTTTGTCATTTTCTTCAAACTTGATATATTAGTCCATCTTGGTCGTACACTTGCACTGCTTTGTATGCATCCTGTCCAAGGATCGCAAGCATTAGTACTTCAAGTTTGACTTGTTATGTGTCCAAGAGGAGACGGTTACTTGGGTAATTCAATCATGTTATTGAGTTTGTATGATTCATAATATGGTATGAGAGTATCCAAAGTCATCCTGCCACTCTTTTTACTACCCTTAAATTCCACATATTATGCAGATTCTGCTCGGTGATCACGTTACACAGAGCAAAGAAAGTAGTGCAACAAACAGCGAGCGAGCAGAAAAAGGAAAAAAGGTAATGCAATTGCGGCGTAAAGAGTAAAAGCACTGCATACCTGGGCTATGATGTTTTCTTCCTCCAGCAAGAAATCTAAATTGGCATGCGAAACGTTGCGTGAACCAGGCTGCAGATAAATTCACACACCAAAAAAAAAAAAGGCAAACAAATGGATTGAGAACGTAGAGAAGAAACAGAAAGAAGTGAATTGAAAATTCAATTCAAATAGGAGGAAACCTGAAACTTGGTCCATTGGAGGGCATCCCATGTACCCGTGCCCTCCATCTTGGAGGAGTCAGAGGCGTCCCTGAGAGACGTTGATCGAGTGTTGCGTGGCTTCGGCGCGGCCATGACGGCGAAGAGGGAACCACCACCACCACTAGTTTGCAATGCGACACGGGGACACCGTCCTGGAGAAAGAGCGCGCGGCGAAGGCTCACCTGCCGTTCAAAGAAGGGGTCCTCTTTTCATGGGCTGCTTAGCCCCCCTGGTAGGCTGGTAGCAAATGTTGGCCAACATGGAGAGAAACATATCTTAAAATTTTTTAAGTTGTATAATTTTTTTCCCAAATATAGTTATTTTAGAAATCAAAATTAAATAATATATAAACATTACTTAGAATAAATTGTATTTTTTTAATTATAACAAGGGCAATTAGAGATGGCCTTTTGTATTCATATAGAGTTACAAACATTATGTTTAAATGGCCATAACACCTTTCATTAAGATCAATAATGGTTGGGTTTTTAAATTAAAATCTCTCAATATATTGTTTTTAAAAGAATTCTCTTTTTTTTTAAATGTATAAGAGAGTTTAATACTTTAATAAGTGTACTGTAAATATGAGAAATTAAACTTACCGAATCAACAAATGATTACCTCCGGTCCTAATCATAAGAGCTAGTTGATTTATTTAAGAAGATTAAAAAAATAAGTTAAGTTAAGTATTTGTAATAAATATATGCTTCTTTTCTAAAATATTATTATTAATCAAATGTATTGGCTAGAACTATTATTATTAGAAAGACTTCAATAGAAAAAAAAATACATAAATATGATAAACAAAATGAATTGGGTCTGATATTAAGAACAAAACAAAATAAAGGACTAAAGTAGTATTAGATAAGGAATGTTATGGTGTTATAGGAACAAGAGAAATTCATTTCGATGGTAGAAAAGTAGGAGAGTCCATTTTATTTACAAATGAGAAAATATTTTAAAACTATTTTATTTAAGAGAACATTTTCCTTAAGCTTAGACTAATTTTTTAAAAAAAAATCCGTGCATAAATAGATAAGAGTTCTTTTCGGCCCCAAAAAATAGTGTTTTTTTGGTTAAATAAGAATTTAAAAAACAAAGTGGAAATCCTGGAGAACTGTACACACGTGATATGTTGTATTTGCATGAGAAGATCAAAATATCTTCATAGGGGTTGCATGTACTTTTCTACCCTATCACTGTTTTCCTGTCCTCTCTCAACATTTTAGTTTTAATTTTTAATCAATATAAATAAAATTAATCAATATAGAATATTAAAATTGCAGCTTATTTTGAGATAAGTGCAAATTCAAAAGTTCATTCTAATTATTATATTTGATGTTATTGCACCAAATGGTATGGCTTAATTTTTTTTTTTTTTAATACGGGACTACAAAATCTGATATCTTTTACTTTGAAATTTTAAATGTTTTTAGAAATATAGTCTCTTCATTATATATATATTTCATAAACTTATAACTAGAAGTGATATTTTACAAATTCCAAATGATACAGTTCCTCTTTCTTTCTTTTTTTGGGTGATATATAGCTCCTTTTTTTTTTTTTCTGATAGCAAGTTCCTTTTTTGGTAATAGCAGTTAGCAGACAACGCACAGTGCTTGTTTTGTTTTGTTTTAGTGTTATTGTCTTTTACTTAATTTGTCATCCTGCAGTTGGCCGAGATTTGTTAATTATTTATTCTTCTAGTTCTTAATATAAGATCTATTTAACTAATTTGATTAGATTAAAGAAGTTAGTAAGTTAATTAATTATAAAAAAGTGACATGTTTTTCTAAACACTATAGTCATCTTTTTAACACCAATTCTCCTTCTTCTACTTATTATGGTTGAAAGAGTATTCAAAGAGGTAATTTAGATAAAATTGATAAATATGAAATATTAGTCTTATATTTAGGACCAAAACAATTTAACAATTAGACCTATATTAAGAACAAAGGAGTATATAATATATATTATATCTAACCAAGATCCCAATTGGAGTAATTGACTGTACTTTGAACAGAGTTAAAAACGATTTACACGTCATCCCTCGCCTAGAGAGTAAATTTTAAGCAAATGACACAGCTATATTTCTTCTTTCCTGTGTTCTAATCATAGAAAAATCATGACTTTTAGCTGAAAAGGAGAGGAGAGGAAATGGGCAAAGAAAATTTCACGTGGCATCTTCTTCCTTATTTGCTTGAAGGGTCACAACAAAACTATAAATTTTTAAGAGCATAGATTTATCACTATTTCTTTTTTTGAATAAACTCGCAAGTTTAAACATTATGACATCTTTTGTCATCACATTTGAGATAACTTACAATCATGTTCTGTGTAAGTTATAACAGAACTCCTTTATAATTCCTTTGTATACTTATCTGGTATTTCGTAAATCATGATTGAAAAATACTTGTAAGTCATTTCAAACAGCCTTTGTATAAAGCAGGGAACAACATGGTTCATTGATTGATGAGATTATCCAAACAATGATTATGATGGTGACAAACTAGGAGTAAACGTGAGATTTATAGAGCACCATGTTTTATATAATGTACTAGGTACAAATATCGTGTCAAGCTTCCATGCTTGGCCAGCAATAAGATCATATAGAAAGTAACCATGATAGCTATACAATTAGGTAATATGCAGATGTTCCTAAATAAACACGCCCTAAACATGATGCAGCAACTCACCACTGAAACAGAAAGGCTGGGGTAATTTGAATATCTCAAGCTTCAAGCAAAGAGAAATTTATGGATACTTCCTTGTTCGGTTGCTCCTATATCTGATACGAAATCACCAACATGGGTACATTAAAATTTTCAATATATATATATATATATATATATCATATCCAAATATCTTGTAAATTTCAAATTACTTGAAAACTAAGTTATTACATACCACACATCCACCAAAAGATCAACTCCTCTTTGCAAGATGAGACCAGCTATACAAGTTTTGGCAGCTAGGAACTCGGCAAAGAAAAAGAATGACAAATGTCCATGAAACTCATCTCACCAGGAATTCATTCTGCTACTACAATTTCTATAGTAGGGGCATTACTCTCAGCTTCACCCAGCATTTTAACTTTTGATCTGCGAGTGTTGAGATTTAAGAAGCCACATTGTTGATGTTTGTCCAACGTGTTTCCCCATCGAACCGGAATTTTGTTGGAGACAGCAACGAGCTAAGTAAATGCTTACCCTTTCAGATCAAGATACTCACGGAACATTCTGCTACTGGCACACTCCGCCAGAGCTTTTGTGTTAAGTTCCTGACCATATCTCCAGACATAATTCAGTCCAACAAGAAGCTCAGTTATTGTTGCTTCAGTCTTTTCTTGATTTGCGAAGTAAAGCGTTTGTACCAGCAGCACATTTGTCCGAGAAACAAAGCTCTGCTGCTCAAAACTTCTCTCAGACTGCCATCTAATCATGTTATGAGCAAGTGGAGCCAACCATTCCAATATTCTTGACATAGCTTCAGTCCATTCTTCTGCTAGAGCCGTATCATAGACTGATGACGCCATGGTCTTCGCATATGGCTTTAGCTTATCCCTAAGGGCAGTTCTCACAGTTGTCGGTAACATATTGTACAGGTCTTCTCTTGCATCAGGGCCAATCAAGTGCGGAGTAGCTGCCAACTTCTCAATGACAATGATAACATTTGCATAGTGTAGTGCCAAAGCAGCAGCACCAAGTGTATCAAGCGGAGGATTTAACAGCTTGCCCTTAGAACTCAAGACTGATTGATCATAATGAACTGCTTTTCCACGACCAGCTAGGCTTGGATTAGCATCATAGACATTCTGCGTCCCCATTTGAACATCACTGGAGCTTAAGTAGCACTCGCTGACAGAGGAACTGTCTGCAGCCATTATACAGCCTTTGAAAGGCCCCACTTGAGTTAACCGACTGGCTCTTGTATGAGTTTTTTTGGCGTAGCCGGGAAACTTCCAAATCTTGCCAATTTTATTTTTTTGATTGACTGGGGCAGATCTCTGCAAATTCGTCCCCAAGGGACCAGAATAAAAATTGACACTTCTATTATTTCCTGAAATTGGGCCCGATTTTGTGGATGAGTCACCAAGAGGACCTGAATGAAAAATGCTGGTTTTATTTGTTTTTGACATTGGACCTGATTTAGCAGTAATACCCACAAGGGGTCCTGACGCAAATCTGGGAAGACTATTCTCAGACGGGTGGACTGAAGGTTGCTGCAACAATGCAGAAACAGATTGGCTATGGTAGATATAGTCGGAATTCAAGTTTCTTGAATCAT